TCCTTCCAATCTATAACTGTTTTGTCAGCCATATTCACTGACCATATCGTTCCCATTAATACATACTTTTTTTCTGGTATGATTTCATAACTTTGAAAATAATCCATTGCTACAGAAGACAGTTTTCAAATTTTTATAACTTTTTTGCAATTGCAAGGGTAAAAATATAAAGTTAATTTTTATCCTTGTTCATAAACACAAAAGATGGATTTATTGAAAACAAATCATGATTATATCAAACAAAAGCACAGATGTTTTAATAAGATAATACACCACATGGCTTGCTAACAGCTTTCTCTTGATGGAATCATATGTAAGTAACAATTAATCCGGTACAAATTTGCATGTATTGTCAAAATTATGCAAAGAGAATAAAGATTTGAAAAATGATATTTTGATGGGAATTTTAAGAAAAGATTAAAAAGCAGAGTAATTCTACTTTAATAATAATGACTCTAATAAAATCAGAAAAATTCTACTTTAACAAAAATCAAAGTAAAAAGAAACAAAATATGTGAATATACAGTTCACTGTGCTTCATGCACATGACTTACATAAAAGGATTTTGCACGTGCAGCAAAGTCTGGCACACTGTGCACTTCTGCTAAAAGAATTAATACTAGCAACTGCTAATATATATTGACAATGGGGTGCTACTTTGGTAGACGGTTGCACGGATTTTGGCGATTTTTCTTTTAGCGAGTAATGCAACTTATGGTAAACCCATTGCTGGATAAGTTATTTATGGTAACCGATACTTGTTGTCATTTTATTAAAAAATAATACGTTTTATTATGCATAAATCCGTGTTTTTAAATATTATTTATGTCTTCTAAATATTAAAATCAATTTAATTTTGCATTTTATTTGAATAAAAATTTTTTTTTTTATAATATTTTATATAATTTATGTTGTGGATGATGTATCATGACGTCACCTTGCTTAAAAGGTAATTGGTTTATTATATCTATAAATTTAATCTAATGTTTTTAAACATTATTTATGGCTGTTAAATATTAATACAATTTAATTTGCATTTGTTTAAAAACGATTTATTATGAATGATTATTTAATATTTTAATTCTATGCGTGTTGTAATCAGCGTGATTTTCTGATATTTGTGCATTACCGCGCCATTTTAAAATTTTATTATTCATCTCTTCGAATTCCTCACATTTCAAATGGAATGGATATCTCCGTCAAGATAATGTTGTTATTGGTAATTACCAGAATTATTGGTATTGGAATAAAACAATTGCCCTTTGAGACCTTATGTGCTAACCTGTCTTTCTAATCAAAGATTATTTATAATGTTAATAGGTCAGAGGAAATTATTTTAAATTTTTGGAGGAACCCGCTAATTGCTTCTTCAATGAAGTGCGAGAAATGTGGATACAGATAAGATGTTAAAAGAGCCGATCAATTATGATTCCGATTTTTTTGTGGTACTTATCAATAAACAACAGGTTAAATGACTCAAAAAAATGTAAGTACATATTTTCTTTTATTTTATAATTGTATACTTCAATTTTGTTAAAAAATTAATAACATATTTCAAAAATGCTGAATAATTATTGTCACATATTTTTTAATGTTAATTATTCTATATAACGTATTTTAAAGTATTTGAAATTTAATAATATTCTAATTCTTTTAAATGTTGGTATGATGGTTTTTAATTCGATTTCAATTTCAGTAATATTTGATCTAATTAAACGTTAGCACAATGTTTTATAGCGGTGTTTTATTCTCTTTGTTGCTATTTAAAAGTAATAATAACCTAAATAATATGAAAGTAATAATAAGTATTTTATACTTATAGTAAATGTATTTATTTACACTTGCCTGTTATCTTAAAAAAGACATTTTCAACAAAAAATTAATCCATTACTTTTAACGATGTTTATTTTTTTTTAAGTTTTGAATACTTTACTATGCGTAAAAACAGCGTTTTTCAAGATGGCTGACTATTGTAAAAATTGCGCCAATGTAAATCGCCTAAAATCCGTGCAACCGTCTACCAAAGTAGTACCGACAATGGTTTTAAAGAAAAATTTTGCATATTAGGGAAAATAAATATAGGGTCACTGTTCTTCAAGATGCAATTTAATTTTGCATTTTCTGTATTATAGGCAAGAAATGTATCATTTAAATAGATTAAAACAAAGCAGTAAAAAGGAAACAACAATCAAACTGCCATTTGAATATATGGAACAATAAATATTAATAATAAATCAAGGGAATTAAAAATTATTAGAGGAAGCTTTCCAAAGCTTTGCACAAAAAAAAAAAAAAAAAAAAAAAAAAAAAAAAAAAAAAAAAAAGAAGCTGAACTGAAATTAAAAATGATTAAAATAATTATACACTTTTTCAATAAGTAGATTTCAAAGAAATTTAATTCATTATCTGAAAGTCTAGGATAATTTTGAAGATTTTAAGTTGAGGGAACGAATAAAGGGCCAGTAATAAATAGCTATAGGAGGTTTATTTCATTGTTTTTGATAAAAGATTCATGCTCTATAACTGGCTTATGTACATTAAACTGGTGAAGTGCAGACTCGCCCATTTATTTGGTTGCCGCTTTTTACAAGGGTAAAAAAATTGGACTTTTGTCAATTTTCTTTTACTTTTTAAGTGAAAATAGGTCGATGTGTACATAGATAACATCAAGGAGTGCACATTACCATTTTTTTTTAAAGTGAAAATAGGTCAATGTGTACATGTATACAGAGTATGTGTAATTCTTAAAAATGCGCCAAGCAGCGTGTGATTCTGCATTTTCCCCCATAAAACTACACTGATAATGAATGTTAAAGAATACAACCAGAAACAGGATTTTTAAGAAGTAAATATAACTTTTATTAATAGGACGGAAGAAAAACTTGGAAACCCAACTTTCAAAAAGTTCAAGCAATTTTGTAATTACTGGTAGAGAAAAAAGAATTAATGACAACAATGAATGGTTGCCTCACTTTCCCTTTCATCAAATTTTTCTTAGGTTTTCTTTAATTATAACCTTAAAAATTTTACCAATACATGTTATTGAAAAATGGCACTTTCATCAATATAATTTGTTTCAAACTTCATGGACATTCCCTTGGTTAGCACACTGGTGATAGAAAAAGGTCTGCTTTATAATCTGCTAAAATGACAAATTAGTAATATAGAGGTACAAACAATATTTTCGAAATTAGGTGCAGCCTTGCCGCGATTTTGAAAATAATCGCCACACCAAAAATGACCCAAAGAACGTCTGTATATACTATACACTATATACTATTATAATTATATACAGTGTATCACAAAAATGATGGGACACTTGTGCTTTAAAAAATGGCTCACATAAGTGATGGGACACCATTAGATACTACTACATACTACAATAAAAATATTTTTGGGGTTTTTTATTTTTACTCAAAAGCAATTGGCAATAATTTATAAAATTGTCTGCAGTATTTCTCTCCAGTTTGGTTTGGAATTCTTGTGTTTTTTAGCTCTGTGCAGCCACGAATGCTAAACGAAAAGAAACTTTGCTTGAAATTCGAAAATTAGTTATTAATTTGCATATTGAACGTGGAAAATCTATTAGAGAAACTGCTGAAACGGTTAACTTGAGTCATTCAACAGTTTTCATCATCATTAAATGATATAAAAAGAATCATGATTCAGAATAAAAGAAGACCTGGCCGATCATCAAAGCTATCCAATGGAATAAAGCGAATTATCGTTCGAAATATTAAAAAAATCCAAGAATGAGTGCTCCTAAAGTTGCTGCTGATTTACAAACATTATATGGGGTAATTCTTAATCCTGAGACTATTAGAAGAGTAATTCGATCTGCTGGATATCACGGTAGAGCAGCCGGAAAAAATTTTTCGTAAGAGTAAAGGATAGACTGGCTTTCGCAAAATCCAACAGAAATAAGAATTCTGATTACTGGAATGAAGTTATATTTGCTGATGAGAGTAAATTTAATATATTTGGTTCTGATGGCAGAATCTTGGTGTGGAGAAAACCCAGGGAAGAATTTCGCAAACAGAACTTGGTGCCAACAGTAAAACATGGTGGAGGAGGAGTTATGGTATGGGGGTGTATGTCATCTGCTGGAGTTGGTAATCTTGTTTTTATTGACAGTATAATGGATCAATACAAGTATGTTGAACATTTTAAATTAAAAATCAAAATTTGAAATCTTCAGGCACGAAAATTGAACCTTCATAACGATTTTAAATTCTACCAGGGACAATGACCCCAAGCACACTGCTTTGAACGTTAGATTCTGGCTGCTGTATAACTGTCCTGAAATAATAAAAACACCACCACAATCTCCAGACTTAAATCCCATACAGAATATTTGGCAAGAATTGGAATCAAGAATTCGCAAACACACCATTTCTTCAAATCAACAATTAAAATGGGTGCTTTTAGAATGGGGTAAAACCACTCCAGAAATCATAAAAAAATTAGTCGAATCCATACCAAGAAGATTAAATCATGTTTTAAAAGTAAAAGGAAATCCAACAAAATATTAAAACCTTTTAAAAAGTAAAATTTTTGGATAAATATTTGATGGAAAAGTAAGTGTCCTATCACTTATGTGAGCCATTTTTTGCTCCATTCTAAACAATTGTATTTTTTTAAAATTAATATTTTAATATGAGACAATGTATGTTATATAATAATCGTTACTAAATTTAAGTATGAAACGCACCCACAAAAAATTTTTTACATGGTTTTTTAATTTATTTTACTACAGTTTCCTTTTGTAAAGCACAAGTGTCCCATCACTTTTGTGAGACACTGAATATTCTTCGAATGACCCGTTTACTACTCATCGTATGTCCCGTTTTTACTGCTCGTCATAAAGTCGCCAAATCCCGTGTGCACCGGATATTAGGATTAAACCCCAAAGCATTGATAGAAATAACATAGCTTAACAATACAAAAGAATAGAATACATAAAAGAATTTATGAATTTGTCTACCGTAAGTAAAACAAACCTTAGGGCGCACACTTTCCATTATTTATTAAATAAAAGAACAAGTCAGATTTTTTTGCTGCATTATAATTTCATAAATTCTGAAATTAATTTTTCTATGAGCAAACTCAGTTATAAGCATTTAGTTAATCCATTCAAATTATTCTTTTCGTTTATATGTTGGTATGGTAACTGCTGGAAGTTGAATAAAGCACTTCCTGCTTCATGATTTGATTTTTTTCTATGTACAAAACTCACAAACAAATAAAAATATATAATTAAATTAATTACTCTGATTTGCTTTAGAAATTTACTTTTAATTTTTAATAATGTTTACATACATTAACTAATGAAAGTTTAAAAATTATCGAAAGTTGCTCTGTGACAGCAATAGTGTAAAGTAGTTCAACTCAACTTCACTCTATTTGTAGTTGTTTCGTGCTGTTTCTGGATGAAAATTTGGTAATAAAAGTATTTTATGTAATTATACGTAAAATGAAATAGTGATAGCCATCAAAGTGGTTGAAAGATTTTCATTACATGTATTTCACTTCAACATGAAAGGAACTGCTATTTATAACGTATTAAGTGTGACACATTTTCCACCTTGTGAGCAACGCATGCTTTCTTTCTAGGTATTGGTCATTAATATTATAAATTTTGAACTTTATTTCTACCTTTAAATAGTTTTTAATTTTGTAGCTTTTAATGGCCTTTTGAGGTGTTTTAAAAAATTTCTTTTGTATTATTGATCTTTTCTACGAACCAGAAAGTGTTATTTGCGCATTATTAAAATTGGCCGGCATTTTACTAAATAATTCGTAGAGGAATATTTTAACATTTTTCTTGTTTTTCAGTCATTTTTTCATTTATGTCTTTATTTTTTGGCCCCCTAATGAAATTTTAACTTTATTTTACATAACATTTTTAAGCGTACTTGTTTCAATATCTTGGTGACATTGGAATTTAAATGGACGCTTCATTATGACTTACAGATGAAAAGCAGATTTAATTAAATTTTGTATTACTATTTACTTCCAATTGCGCATTTAATTTGACACATATAACGGAGTGCTTTAGTCTCTTATTTTATTCCGTATACGATTTTCTGTTTTTTTAGTTAATTCTAACTTTGATTCAGGTCAGTGACTTTGAATTACATGTTTTTGGAAAATTAAATAGGTATGATAAATAAAAATCTCACTTGCACATGTATGCATGTGTATATGTATGGGCGTGTGTACATGTGCACATACACATACATATGTGCATACATATTTACAGGCATACATGTACATCCATGTATACATACATGTATATATTCATTTTTGAATCCGTCCCTGATAACAGAAGAGTGCCTTATAATTACTCCTTCATAAATAGCTGCACACAAACTTTATTTGGGGGAGATTTTAGTTTAATTGAAATCTTTTGTGTGTACTGCAGAATAGTGCAACTTTATTAAATATGATGACTCTCGATAAAAATAACTTATATGTACATATGAAATTTTATATTTATTGAATGCCTAGTTTATATAGCACTTAAATGAGGCACGCTTCTGTTTTTTATATGATTTACTCATTTTTTGGCGACTAACATTAAAAATATCAAGTTAGTATATGGTAGATTGATACTAGTCCTGAGATCTGTGTGTATATGTAAAAATTATCTAGAATGGCCCTTAATTCATAGACAATGCTTTTGGCAGACTATAAATTGTGAATAAACTCATTGCTTCATTACAAAATGATATATGTTAATATTTGAAGTACTTTAACAGGGTTTGTATGGTCCTTAAAAATACTTGAAAGTCCTTAGTTCTTTTTGGAAAGGGTTTTTGGTTCTTAAAAGTCCTTAATTTCAATCTAAATCGGCAAAAGGGCCTTAACTCTACTCATTTGGCATTTGTGTCTGTCTTTACTACTACCATTTTGAGTGTAAATTACTATTTTGAAGAAAAGTACATATTCATTGACAAATATGTATCTAATGAGTTATCGTATGAATTCTTTCTACTTCTTGATATCAGGGGCACGAGGCTCTGCCTTTAAAATTTTTTTATTTTGAGAATAAATGGTTCATAAAACATTAGATAAAAAATATCCTTTCCTTTTTTGAGGTATTTCTTTTGTTTTGTCATACTAAATCTGGCTGTTCATGAACACTTTGGTGATTTCAAGATCAATTTGTGTGCGGAAAGTTTTATTCAGATATTTGCGAATTTTTTGCCTACCTTTTCAGCACAAAGAGGGCGTTGGACTATTAGTTTCAAAACGGTATTTGTTTTACTTTCTGTGTTGATTCTCTTTTCAAATTTTTGCCACCAAATATTATCGCCATGTATGATATTTAAAGAAACAAAATAATGAAGAATCTGAATGAATGTTTCTCGCATTGTGAAAAAACAACAGAGCCATCAAATTTTGAATAACATAGTCCTCCAACTGAACATGCCCAAATTTTGAATTTTAAATTTGTATTTCAAATTTTGTAAAACTTTAGCATATTTTTGATTAACAAACTTAGCAGTTTCAAAACAGGCAATGGCAACACTGTATGGAAAAAAAAATATTTTTATCTCCACTGCACAAGACTGTTTCAAACACAGCATATGTGAATCGACAAAAGTGTATCGGATGTGCTGTTTTTAAATATTTTATGATATCGCTGCTGAATTGAGTTTTATGTGGTTTAAGTGTGAAGAACATGATATTTAATAAATAAAGGTAATGCACAAAACATTAAAAAAATGCTTCTTTGGGTGTAATATAAAATCTGATTTTTTGTTAGAAACGCAATAAGTTCCTTAAAAATGATATAGTTTTTTCTTTAGACCCCCCCCCCCCCCCCGCATATATAGTTTTTTCGGAATATTCAGATGTGTATCTGTTTTCTGTTAAGAATTTTCTTTATACTTTTCTTTTTTGAACTTTTCAAATTCAAGGGATAATTTTTAGACTTTATCTATCAGAAGGTTAGAAGAATTTGAAAGCTAGATTTATAGACCTATGACTCCAGAAATATTTGATGAAGTGAAAGATGGTTTCATGGTATTAACATGTAATAAATGTGTTTCTTAAAAAATTTATGATGAATTTCTTACTTTATGGAAAATTTTTGAAAGAATGAAAACAAAGTTTTTTGAATTATCTACTTTTGATCGGAGAAATCTTCCTTTTATTTTCTCATCTTTTGATTAGACAAAAGCATGCAAAATTGAAAAAATAGTTATAATCATGTAACGTAGATAGACATTTGTAGAAGGGATTTTTATAGAAAGAAATTGTAGAAATTAAAACGGTTAATCTTTGGATTATGGTAACTTGGCGATTTTTTGGCAAAAATTTTGCGACCAACCCTTTTACACCAACCTGCTAGTTTTTGTTTGGACGCCATTTTGTTTTCACGAAGTAAAGACATTTTTTTTTTTTTTTTACTCAACATTTTTTTCCAACAATCTGCTAGCCGAATTACGCTTATGCTAGAACTTTTATGGAACAAAAGTGCTTAATCATGACGAAGATTAGGTGCGAAATTGAGAGAAAGTGCAGACTCGCAAACTGCTTGCTGCGTTTTTAAGAATTACACATACACGGTAACCATGTACACGTCGACCTATTTTCACTTGAAAAAACATCCCAGAATTGCACAAAAATGGCATTGCGCACACTCTTGACTTTATCCATGTACACTGCTAAAGTCCTAGCTAGTAACCTTTATCACCTTACCAAAATGTCACCAAACTACCTGTTACTATATTCCAAAGATTAGCCATTAAAACACTGAATATTTAAAAAAATTCAGCTAATCTTTGGAATATGGTAACAGATAGTTTGGCGACATTTTGGTAAAGGAATAAAGGGCTGATCTTTGGAATATGGTAACAGGTAAATTTGGCGACATTTTGTAGGCGATAAAGGTTACTACTACCTAGGACTTTTGTAATAATGTGAGAAGTACTCAGTTCCGATTACACATTATTTTGTGTGAGGGAAATGAGAGATCATGAGATATGTCGTGTGACATTAATGGACGAATTACAGTTCTTTAATCGGAAAAGGGGGTTAATTTGGAAAAATTATTTTGTATTAAGCTTCATTGTGTGTTGTGTGAAATAGTGTTGATTAATTTTTGGATTGCATGGCGCTATGTAAAGTGAATTCTAAATTTTTAATGCGTTTATCTGATAATAATAATAAGTTGAGATTGTGTGAAAGGAAGGATATTACAGTTAAGTTTGAATGGCAGTGCAAGAAATCTGGTGAAAATGGACATTTTGTGAAATGGAGTGTAAGGAAGGGTACATGGTTTGCTGAAAGTAGTTTGAGTATGGCTGAAATTTTATGAATTTCTTATTACTTGGTGAAATAGACTTCCAGTTGACCACTAGATTTCGGATTTAGAAATTAGCAGTAGTACTGCAGCCACGTAATGAAAATTCTGAAGAAGATTAAGGTAAGTTAGTATTTTTAATCATTTGAGGATATTGTTTTTATGCATTGTTCTAAATGTAAGGAGTAAATAAATTAATATGGTGTTATTGGAAAATTGTTATGAGCAATGATTTAGTTTAAAGTAATTAGGATTGTAATTTAATTTTTATAATTTAATGTATCTTATTTATATTTTAACTAGTGTTTTTTAATTTAATTATATTTTAATTTAATGATCTTGATTTTGTGAGTTATATATTTGTAGTATTTTGGAACACGTTTGAGTAGTATACGTTGAGTGTTTGAGAATTTGTAGTTTGAGTAGTATACGTTGAGTATTTTCATGCATTTTCGTGAAATTTTTCTAATTTATGAGAAAAAAGCAGTTTACATAGATATAGTGAAGAGTGTGCACAATGGCATTTTTGTGCAATTCTGGGATGTTTTTTTAAGTAAAAATAAGTCGACGTGTACATGGTTTAGTGATATTTTAATTAAATGATAGTTATTTTGTGAATTTTATGTTTGTAGGAATTTGGTATACGTTTCAGTTGAAGTAAACATGTATGGAAATAATTTAAATATTTGACACTAAGTATTTGTAACTATTTTTAATGTTTGTGTATAAATTCGTTGGTGGCGTTTATAATATAATAGATAATTTAGAGGTAAAAGCTTTTGGATATTTTATTTATTTTATACATGGAAATGTTCATCCTTGGAAAGGGTATATACTTTGTCGCGATCAGGTAATTTCATATAGTATGTTCTTTTTACCGGATTTAAAGATTCACAAAATTTTCTTGCATTTTCGTGAAATTTTTCTAATTTATGACAAAAAAAGCAGTGTACATGGATATAGAGAAGAGTGTGTGCAATGCCATTTTTGTGCAATTCTGGGATGTTTTTTTAAGTAAAAATAAGTCGACGTGTAAATGGTTTATGTATATGTGCTATTCTGAAAAACGCGCAAGGAGTTTGTGATTCTGCACTGTTCTCACCAATTTTGCAGTTAATATTTGTCATGATTAAGCAGTTTTGATACCAAAAAATTTCTAGCATCAAGCGTAATTCGGCTAGTAGATTGTTGGAAAATATGTTGAGTAAATAAAAAGAAAAGAAACATGTCTTTACTTCGTAAAGACAAAATGGAGGCAAAAAAAAAAAAAAAAAAAAAAAATAGAGGGTTGCTGTAGCAG